GGGTATCAAGATGTTATTGACTGTTGGTTATATTGATGAAGTTGTTGAAAATGAATATGGTTTAGGGCACTTTTGGTTTATGATGATGATGAAAGTGTTAAATCTGTATTTCAATGTATATAATTCTGTAATTTTAATGTGGCTATGACTTGTAGTTATGAACTAATATGTAAGATGGATTTATTTATGGGTCACTGTAATTTTACAAACTATATTTAACAAGACATATGTCTTGTAAATCAGATGGTTTGTAAAATTACATTTCTATGGGGGTAATGTATAATTTTACAAACCATCACCCAAAAATATGGGTTGCAAAAAAAAAGGGTTGCAACATATGTGCCTTAAAATTGCAACCCATGCCCCATGGAGTTGAATTTTGAGGCACATATGTTGCAACGCTTATGTCTTGCAAACAATATGATTTGCAAAAGTACATTGGTGCCTTATTTCATGGAATTTTGCAACCATTAGTTTGCAACCCATATATGAGTTGTAAATTATGTTTTGCAAAATTGCACAACATGGTATGTAAAATTGAATTTTGCAAACCATATTTTGCAACCCTCCAAAAAAAAAAAAAAAGAGGGAGACACAAAAAACAAGCCATGTAAAATTGAATTTTACAAACCTTGTTTTGAAACCCTCCAAAAAACAAAGGGATACACAAAAATCAACAAAAAAAAACAACAGAAATCAAAAAAAGGATAAAGGAAAAGGACACAGCCTCAAAAAACAATAAAAGGCAATCAAAAGAAGAAAGAGAAAGACAGCCTCAACAAAAGATAAAAGGGGGAAAAAAGATAAAGACACAGCCAAAAAAAATCAACAAGCAGATCAAAAAGAAAGATAAATGAAAAGGACATAGCCTCAAAAAACAATCTCAGTCTCTAGCGGATGAAAGAGATGATCATCTTACTCGAACTCAGGTGAAAAACAGTGAAGAAGATGAAGATGCCCCTCAGAAACCTCCCGTACGGTTCAAGGTCATACTTGAACCACCTGAGCAACGACGCCTCCAAGTTCCAAAGGACAAACCCAGGCTTCAAGACAATCAGTGAGAAAGAAAAAATGAGATTGAAAGATTTTTTTTCCTGGACTGACTTCACATTTCCTTTTATTCTGTTTGAGGCTCTGTCTTTTTTTCTTTTTGATCTGCTTGTTGATTTTTTTTTTGGCTGTGTCTTTATAATCTTTTGTTGAGGATGTCTTTCTTTTTTCTCTTTTGATTGCCTTTTATTATTTTTTGAGGCTGTGTCCTTTTCCTTTATCTTTCTTTTTGATATGCTTGTTGAAGCTTCACATCGACTGGGACTGCTCCCTCGCTTCAAACCAATAACAACACCTACCTACTCTATTACTTGTAATGCTGGTATGCTATCTAATTTACCCCACAACAAAAGCCTATGGGTTTGCTTCATCGGTTTGATCATCACATCAATCATCGGAGGACCTAAACGCGTCTTCACTCACACCGTAATTGTTCACCGGACTCCCTCACCGCAATTCTACTTCTGATAGGTGGTGGAGAATATAATAAGGTGAAAGTATATTGACTCGCGGAGATAAGTCTAGTCATAGCAAGAGGGATGGACGCATGGATAGATGTCATGGTAGGTGATGGATCTGACTTGAAAGAGCGAGGCGCGAAGGGAGGAAGCTTTAAATGTGAGAATTTCTGTACGCTGGGAAATGGTGTTGGGATGATGCTTAAAAAGGAGGATTGAGGTGACATATAGGGGCTGGGAGGAGGTTTTAAGTCATGTTCATGAGCGATACGCGCGGACATGTTGCCCGAGTAGCGTGTGGTTTGGGGAAAGGAATATTTTTAGGTATTGAGGTCCAAGTGAATAATGCCAGAAATGTGGGAGGCAGCAGATTAGGAATAAGATAGGCGGAGGAAAAGGAAATGTGGAGTATTGAGGTAAGACTGATTCCTTAGATTGAAAGTAGGCAGAAGGACATTAAATAGGGATGAGGATAAAGATTTCCTCTTAAAGATTAAGGTGAAGACATGATGATAACAAATTGATTGAGAATTGCTAAAAGCATGCATATAAAGTCAAGAGAGGATAGAGTTTGAGGACTAAGACAAAGGAGAGGAGGACATGGTTGAATGTAAGCAGATGAGGGGAAGTGAACGGAAATGGGAACCTTTCAGGGGTGAATGCTGAGTTAAGTGAACGGAAGGAGGGTGGATAATGATGGAAATGGTAATTATGGATCTGTGGAACAAGAAGAATCAGGTGTGTGGTGCGCGGATAGGGAATGGGGAAATGAGAACAAAAGAAGAGGTAGGGGTATAAAGAGAGGGCAACCCGAGAAGAGGGGAAAGAGGCATCGTATGATTCTTGTTCGGCGGCATCGCTTAGAATCATACGATCCAGACAGAGTACCCGTAGATGGTGGAATCCAATTTTTTTAAATTAGAGTCAAGGTAGCTTGCTCAATCCCAAACTGTTAATAAACTGTTAATATGAGGCTTCTTCCCTACAGTACGCCAGCCTTGAATATCACACTACATGCAGGGATCACGGGCGCCCCCAAACAGCTTTTCAATGGATGGATGTCTGATTGAGTTGAAGACAAGACTGAAAAGAGGATTGGATGAAAATCGATTGATTGCTGTACAAAGATGACAAAAACAAACATGATGATACTTGTATGAGCAGACAAGGATGAGAGTCAGATTAAGTTCTAAATGAAGGTTTCAGTGTAACGTTTGACGGTGATCAACTGAGACGACCGAGAAAAGTTCTAAATTATCGTCCCCATTTCTTCTGTTCAAGCCTTCCATGCCTTCTTGATCAACTCGGTCATACCTACAGAGCGTAAAAGAAAGATGTGATATTAGATCAGGGTGGACGACAACAAAAAAATGCTCGAGTCTTGGGAACTGCACAAACCGATGTCGTGCGTGTTGAATTGGTACACTCCAACGAGAACGCCGCACGTTAATGCTCGTAGGGTCCAAGTGGCGATCGGGCTGATCACAGGGAATTTACGTTTGGGAACATAATCGACCAAGCATTGATCGAATCCCTATTGTTTTTTTTTTTTTGGGGGGGGGAGGGGGTCCGAAGAAAGAGAAACCCGAAGCAAAGGTTAGAGAGCTATGTATGAAGTCTTGGCTGGAGACTCTGTTCAGATTTCGAGCTGAAATGGATGACGTACCATGTGAGAATGGGCAATCAAGAATACCCCGATGACCCCGTCAAGAATTGGATTGGCACTGGAAATAGCAGTGGCGGCCGAGAGCGGGATCAAGCTGGCGGCAACCGATCTCTCGAAGGTCCAATGAATCGATCCGTGGGCTTTGCTGGGTGGTGGAAAGGTAGTAGGGTCGTTGATTGTGCCCCTAACGTAGGCTGAAATTGAGAGCAAGGAACAGTATAAATTGATTAGCTCTGGCTTTCCCTGTTGTCTAAAAAAACATAAGCGTAGGGTAGAGGGCTTGTTTGGGAGGTGGTGCTTACGGGCATCTGCGGCCGAGTCTGCCTTGACGATAGGGGAGGGTTGTGAATATGACGTCGAGCCTGGAGACACATGCAAAATTAAAATCAACAAGGTATTGTACAAGATCACTGAGCCTGGTGGCAGATGAGAGAACCATGACGTACTGGTCGACAATCGACGGTATTGAGGGGTCATGAGCGCCAGTCGGTTGATAATGGGCAGCTTGTTCATGGGACGTGACAGGGTGGATAGACGAGTGGCCGACATGATGATCCGGTTGATGTTTTGTTGTTTGTGGTCTGTTGTCTTGATTCTGAGGATGGGGGTGCTGGGATGGTCTGCCCTCCCCGGCCAAAGCTCGAGAGCACCCGAGCCGGGTGTCTTCAGTGACATCCCCGACCTCCACATGTCACAGAGCCATCCGGCTGTGATGTCAACCGGTGAAAGCTGGACAAGAATGGAACAGCACAACTCAAATAAATTCTACAGTACAAATAGTTCATTCAAGGATTACACAACCCACTTTTTTGGGTTAATGAACAGGATTTTAAAACTCATTATGTAGGAGAATTTGTGACAGTGCTGTATTGGTATTGATGGCACTGTATGACCACTTAACTCATACACCATGGGTCGGGTTTTTAGAAAAAAAAACCAGCAAACTTCTGTCCCGAGTGCCCGCAACTTGGTTGCAAAGCATCCAATGGACGCTTGGGCTCGCCTGGCATCATTTGGATGCTTCAGAAAGCGTCCAAGGGATGCTCGGCAGGCGAGACCATCCAGAGGATGGCATACAGCCCACCGTCCATTGGACACTTGATTGAGAGTGTCCAATGGACAACAGGAAAACCATCAATTGGACACTTCTCAGAGTGTCCATTTGATGGTTTTCACGTGGGTCCAGTACAGTTGAAAAAAAATGGTTGATGCTTGAAAAATAGGCTTGGAGGGTGGTCAATGGTTGAAAAACCATCCTGAGATGTGTCTGGTAGGATATCAATAACCTTTGTGTGGAACCAGAATGAAGCCACATAGTGTAGTGGTCATGTGCTCCCTTCTGCATCTGGCTGGTGTGATTTTGTATGGGAGCCAGGTTGCCAGTTCAATCCTGCCTGCCAGCACATTTTTTGTGCCTGGAGGCTTCCAAGCCTACACCTCGGGCGCAGTTCGACGTGGTCGGACACCACTTTTGCCCGTGGATCCCACGAGTGGCCACTGCAGCAGGTCGGACCAGCAGCTGGCGGTCCACAGTTTTCTGTGGACTCCACCCACCTATCCACGGCACCCCTCCGAAGTTGCCCCGAGGAGCCGACGTGAGTTCGGGTAGGGCTGCAGTTGCAGAAACGGCGGGGGCCTCAAAAAGGAAGCTAGTGGGAGTCAAACCCGGGTGGCAAGGTGGACTGGCCGGTCAAGGGGGAACCTTGACGACTAGTCCACAGGGACTTGTTGTTGGGCTTCCCCTTTCAAGATCATATCGACCCGTACTGATCGGTTCCGGGTTATTTTTACTGACATCACAAAAAAAATTCAAAGTTTTTTTTTTTTTTTAATTTTTTTTTTCTTCAACACTTGTTTTTCTGGAGCTTTTAGACTGTCAGGACCCGTTCTAGCGGGTTGCGGTTGTAGGTAAAAAAAATTTGGCCGCCGTGGAACCGACGTGAGCAACGAGAGCCCGATCGGCTTGGATGGGAGTTCGTGGAATCGACGACGAAGAAAAGCTCGGTTCGTGGAACCGGCGACGAAATCAGTCCTTACCAAAGACTTACAGAGCTGATCTTGTCGGTTCCACGATCCCGCTCGGCAAGAAGTGCCCCTGGGGTGTACCATTGGATGGATGGTTTGGCCCTACCACCTGGCTTCAGCAAAATGCAAAGCACATCCAATGGATGCTACTTCCAGGGCCAAAGTTGGATGGCATTTGGTACATCCGTTTGGGTTTCCAAATGCCATCCACCACACCCGGTGGTGTAGTCATACATGATCTAACCGGTTGTTGTTCTCAAAGTTGATAGGGCAGTTTTGCACTGCTGATTTCCAAATCATCAGCCCAAAATTTTCTATAAATCGGACATTGATGATTTCTAGGTATCATTGAATCTGGCTGAGAAGCTCCTCTTGAGAAGCAAGTTCAAATACTTAACAAAAAAAATTGGTGCATCAGAAAATGATAGTTGTTAAACAGTCTACCAAAGTGGCCTTTGGGGTGATTTTGAACCCTTTGAATATACTATAAATAAACAAATTCAACAATTGTCCATAAAACAACATTCATCACCACCAATAAAACCAATAGGGGGGTTCACAATTGAAATTTACACAATTTCTAAATCCCATTTTAAGGTGTTTCTCAACAGCTTTTTGAAAAATGAACAAGTTGTTCTAATTTTTCAGAAACCCTAAACCCTGTGCATCTTGTAAAAATTTTAAAATCTTGTTGATAAGGATATTAAAATTGACTATGAAAATTTAAATTGTGAACACCTCTAATGTACTGATTAATGATATCTATTTTATAGTGATTCCACTTATGTAAATATTAATGGTTTATATATACATATGTAATAATGTCTCTGTCTTATGTACATATAAAGTAGACATAGATTACATATGCTATTGGGGTAGCATGTGTAATAATGTCTCTTGAATATTTAAAATACTATGGTCAGGTTGTCTCTGAATAGTGGCAGGCTGACAAAACTTCTTACTTCTCAAAACTACTTTTGAGACACAAAATAAAAGGTAATTGCTTAGAATAACTCATCAGGAAATAAAATTTTTGTGGTAGTCCTATTTTATCTAATCCTTTCTTATTTTATCTAATCCTTACTTATTTTACTTATCTACAAAAAGTAGTTTGACTTAAGAAATTTTGATCAACTCGTGCTTTAATTTCTCTGTCTTCAGATCACTCAAACCAACCTCTTTAAATAGTTGCCATTACTCATCTGTTACTTTGCTTCTGATCATTTTAAGTAAGTTATCAATCTATCAATTTAGATTAAAAGTATCTCATAGTATTGTGATTCTCTCTTTTTTCTCTTCTCTACTCTACTTAATGTCAAATTCCTATAAAAAATCAATCCTAATACTTAACATTAATAAAATTTTAAATGAACTATCTAGAATAAACAAATAATTGGGGTTGATTCTAATAACCCCTCCATGTTATTTAACTGGATAAAAAGTTATCACATTCTTCACATATCTGATTGATCCTGTTCCTACCTTTAGGAACAGAGGCCTAAGTGTTCCCTTACCAGCTAGAATATAATAAATACTATCAAACAAACAAACAAAAATAAAATAATCTCTTCTATTCCTCTTTTTTCTCTATCTTGTTGTATCTAGTCTTAGCTTTAGTAGTAATATATTTTTTTACTAATATAGACCTTGTCCAGCTTGATTTCTACGCAAGATCCACCACTTACAATAGCTTACATGGCTCAAGGCAAAGAGTAATCCCTCTCGGCCTGAGACTGTACAGTCTATGAATTGACAAGGTCATCCTTGTCAACTGGAGGGGAAAACCCTCCCAATGGACAAGGTACTTGTACCTTTTCCATTGGAAGAAAATCCTTCCAGTGGATCATTGGGAGGGGTTCCTCCTGGCAAGCAGGCTTTTAAACCAGCTTGTTGGAAGGGATTACTTCCAACAAGCTGGTATAGGAGGAACCCCTCCCAAAAATTTGATGCCACCTTTTTGCTGTTTGGAATTGGAAGGGACTGTGGTATCACCACCAGAATCTATGGCATTCAGTATCATTTCTTGTATCTCCCTAGTATCTTTTCTTTCAGGCATTCTGTAGTAGAAGTTATCCAGCTTGTTATGTGAGGAATTAAGCAGAGAATAAAATTACTTTTGAAGTTTATATTGTTCTATCAAAACCATTTCTCCAGAGTGTTCTTGACCCAGGACCTTGTGCAATCTCACATTGATATTCCAAAGCAAATCAAGCAACTTCTTCAGTTCAACAAGAAAATCATCTTTTCTTAATATGTGAATGTGAGGTTTGATTTGAGGACTGGGGGTGGCAATTTGTTAAACTTTCCAGATGTGCAAAACTTTAGGACATCAAAAATTGTCACTATGGACCTTGGCTGTATCAGTTATATGAACAGTTCACACAACTTGTCCATTGAAAACAGAAAGCAGAGGAAGAGGGTTCAAGAGCATAAATTCTCACTTGACATGTCAATTTCTCTAATTGATGATTTACACTACACTACATAGCTTCTACCGTAGCGTAGCGTAACTAGGCATGTAGTGTAGTGTAGCTTAATTTGGTAAAAGTTACACTAAATTTTAGCTTTAAATCCGTTACACTATCTGACAGTCAAAATTTTGTTAGCGCAAGAAAAGTTACACTAACTGTTAGTTTAGCTGAGATTATTTGAAGCTAACACTACCAAAAAATTTGAGAGAAAAATTTACACTACACTAACAGTTAGCGTAGTGGGGTTTAGTGTCAGCTAACACTACAGAATGTCCAGGAAATAAAAAGTCCACTACACTAACAGTCAGTGGTCAAATAGCGTAGTGTAGCGTAGCGGCCCACTGTTGCTGTTCTCTGTACCTTCCTCTGATTTCCTGCTATTGTCCCTCTTCTCATTGTAAAATCCACACTACAGTTGCGGACGGCAAAAACTGACCCTGGATTTTCAGGATGTCCAAATAGTCGGCCAAAAGTCTCAGTTTTTTTTTTATATTTTGAGCCTTATGAGCTGTTTGTAGCCTCCAGAGTGTAGAAAAAATACACTAGAATAGTAGGTTAACGGTGAAAGTAGATGGTGAGGGTGTACAAGTAGTATAGAACCAAGTTTATGTATTCCTTAAAGCCATAAATATGGGTTTAAGTATGGCTTAATCTGTGCATGTCTGATTATATGTATGTGGAAATGAAAAAAAAAAATTGAAACACTCACTCAAAACCTTAGTGATTACAATTTTGAACTCTACACATCTGTAGAAGTTCAAAATTGTAATCAAATTAAGTGTCAGGGCATAGGTCCCGCGTGTCGAATTTGGATTTTGCGGGCGGGGCATGGTTGGTCTATGCCGTACGCATCTGTACACTTGTTTATTCCCAAACTCTTTTGCAAATCCAAATTTGGTTGCATTATAATATTATAGCCTTTTTTTTCCTTTTTCCTTTGAGAAATTCAAGTTCGGAAGGTTGAATAACCACTGGGAACTTTCTGCAGTGCTTGCATCAATAAAATGAGTGGGAGCAAAAATTAAAAGGCAAATAACTCATTTTTGTGAAAAATAAATTTTACCATTAAATTCTACACCTTTCAAAGTGTAGGAAACAAATTTACAATGTCAAAAAAGAATGAAAAACAAGCCCCTAACAATTAATTTAAAAAATGAGTGGGAAAAAAATTTACAATGCATACAAATCATTTTTTTGCAAAAAAATTATTCCCATTGTATTCTACACCTTTCAAGGTGTAGGAAAAAAAAATTAAAATGTCAAAAAAGCATTGAAAACAAGCCGTTAACAGTTAATTGTAAAAAGGAGTGAGCAGAAAAAAAGTCATTTTTATGGGAAATGGACTTTACCGTTAAAATCTACACCCTTTAAAGTGTAGGAAAAAAATTTAAAAATCCGAAAAAACTTGAAAAATAAGCGGGAAAAAAATAATGATGAAACTGTGTGTGCTGTGCCGCAGCAAAACCGTGTGTAAACGCAGGAAAACCGTGCTTTTTTATTAATGCCCTTATGAAAAATGGTTTTTACCATTAAATTTCTACACGCTTTGAAACATAAGAAACAATTTTAAAAATTCAAAAAACTCAAAAAATAAGCAGTAACCAATTAAATAAAAAACCGTGTCAAAACACGGAATCCGCGTGTGCTGCGCTCAGACCATCTCCACCGCAAGTTGCTATCCGAGCTGCCAAATCTGAAAGTTTGGCAACTGCGGCGCATTTTTAGCAGCTTGCGTCAAGTTGGTTTTGCACCGGAAGTTGCTATAATAGCAACTGGGGAATGTGAAAGGTCCCCCCCCGGGGCAGCATAGACTGCACTCCTTATTGTATTTACCTCTTTCTCTATAGCGACCGGCCGGTACCGACCAAGGAGAGACTACACTATCCGGTGACCGGTACCTTCCATAGGGATTGTACACTGGTAAGGGTCACTTCTCTGGTGATCTCTAACCGGTATTGGTCCTCAAGAGTATTGACTCTCGTGTGACTGATACGATCTGAGATTCCTATTCACTTGTTTTGAACCGGTATCGGTCATCGGAGAGGGTAAACTCTCTAGTGACTGATACCGATTCTTGGGATCGTACATCCACGATGACTGGTGCCGATCTTTGAGAGCGTACATCCTCTAGTGACCGGTACCGGCCCTTGAGTGTACACTTTTGAGTGATCTGGGAATTGGGTGTTGAGTTGTTTCGGGGGCGATGGGGAAAGGTGAGCGGGAGAATCACAAGAAAAACTTGTGATACTCGCGAGGTTGGGCTGCTATCCTGATGCCAAATTTGGTATCGGGATAGCAGCCGAGAGGTGAGTTGCTAAAAAATTTGAGTGTTTAGCAGCCCCGGTGGAGCTGCTAAATCGAGTTTGCGCTGCTATATTCGGTTTAGCAGCGCGGTTTAGCAGCCGCGGTGGAGATGGTCTCAGCAGAAACCGTGTGTAAACGCGGAAAAACCGTGTTTTTTTATTAATGCCCTTTTATTTCACTATTTTTGATGGTTTTATTTTTATTTTTTATATTGGTCGTTCCAACTCCCAAATCCCCCTGGGGGATTTTTTTTTTGGAGTTCTGACTCCAAAAATAGTCGGACCTTTTGGAGGTCCAACTCCCAAATAATCAGGGGAAACAAATATGGGAGCTTGACGTTGAGAGGAACGTCTGCAGCCAGTCCTCTTGAAGTCCCAAATATTTGGGAGTTGGAACTCCAATATTTGGGAGTCGTTTAACTAAGCCCCAAGAAATAATACTTACTGATACTTATTTCTAAGCCAAGGAAAAGTTCAGGAGAGGGGAAACTTTTCTTGAGGCTCTCAGAAAGGTGTTGGAGAGGTGTTGGAGGAGTTGTGGGGAACAGGTGTTGGTTTATTGGTTGAACTTCAGGTTAAAAACAGCAGGAACTGGGCCAAAACAGGTTGAAACTGGTTGTTCGTGATGGTCTGTGCTGTTAAGTAATGATGAAGATTGGGAATCAAACTTCAGGGGGGAGAAGGGGCCTTTATATATTCATTATGGGCCCTTGGGGGCGGATACAGGAGCCTGTGTAGCCTTGGCAAGTCTCCTACTAAGCCATGGGAACCTGAGGATCAGCCTTAACACATGTAGAGCTGGGTTACAGGTCTCAAGGCAATGATGCAATGATTGTAACCATGTTTACAGGGTGTTCATCCAGATTGCGCATTTCTGGTGTTTAATGACCTTGATGATATTCCCTGCCTCACTCCAGAGATAGCTGAAGCTTTAAAGGATCTACTAGCAACGGTGGGTCAGCTACGCTAACTGTAGCGTTAGCGTAGCGTAGTGTAGCAAAAAAGCGCTACAATGTAGCGTAGCGTTAGCGCATTTTTCAATTTCTGTGCTAACGCTACGCGCATGGGGGAAAAATTTGTGCTAACGTTTAGCGTAGCGTTAGAGCAATTCCCCCCATGTGCCAACTTGGCTGCCTACCATGCCAAACAAGTGACCATCCAACCCAAAGACATCCAACTCACCCAACAACTGAGAGGCAAACACTCATGAACAACCTTGCATCTAAATACTCTTTCTCTCCTTGTTCTTCCTAAGCTTTGATGATTCTTGTTCAAAATATTCATTAGACTTGTTTACTCCCAACATCTTCATGTACTTTGGCCTTGTTCAATTTGAACACTTGAGGCCCCAACACCGTTGTTCAAGCTACCTGCCAGTCAAGAACCGAGAATATCTTGTTCTTGATTGGTGGGCAAGTCCTCCTGCCAATCAGGTTCTTCTGCCCGCCCCTTGGAAGCCTTTTTCCTTGGGAAATCAGGCTTCCAAGGTTTGTGTGATCAAACCCGCCCCTCAGGGACGGGCAGGTGCAATCACATGCCACTTTTGGAGGGGTGGGTGGGGAGGGGAGGGGTGTGCAATTATCAATGCACCAATACGTTGATGATATATTGCTTGTCATTTATTGTGTTTGATGCAAAGATGGCCCCGTTGCATCTGGATATCCAGCTGCATTTTCCAGGGAAACCGCCATGCGCATCCGCTGGAGGGTATCCCTCTGCCTTAGTGGTTATCTTCAGATACCCGCCACATGCACAAGGGCAGCTGGAGGGGGTGGCCAACAATTGACTGGAAGGTCTTCCTTCTGGCTAACAAGGTACATGTACCTTTAAATACCTTCTGGTCAACAAGGTTGTGCCTCATTGGCCTCGAGATGGTACAGTCTCCAGCCCAAGAAGATCCCCTCTTGGCCTTGAGACTGTACAAGGTCTCAAGGCCAGGTCCCTCTGACAGGTATCCCTGGAGATACCCAGATACCTGCCAGGATTCCGAGGAGAATGGGGCATCCGAATCCTCTGGCAGGTATCTGTTGGGCCTGGGGGGTATCTGCCAGCGGATAACAGGTATCTGCAACAGATACCCTGAGGCCATCTCTAGTTTGATGTATTTGTTGTCATGATCATGATCCCAAAAGAAGACAGATCACATTGGTAATATCACCTGTTTGAATCAAGTTTGTTGGTAAGATTTCACACCATGCAATTATGACAGCCCAGTGTCTCTTTGTCTCCAACATCCAATTCACTCATGAGTGAAAATACTGTACATATTGTGCTTATCAAAAAACGTGTGTAAGAATTGGAGAGCTTGAGGATAGAATTCACAGGTATGTTAGAGTCATGAAGCATCAACAAGAAAAGAGAAATAATAAAAAACAGAAGAAGTGATCTCTTTTACCCTCAGGGCAAATGTAGACAGACAGGACAAGATAACACACCAAGAAGAAAAAGGCTGTGCAAGAAGAGGATAAGGAAGCGGAGCTTGAGAAGTTGAAAAAGAAACAGGATAAGAAAGAAGATTGCTCAAGAAGAGGTAGGGTGAAAAGATAGAGAAGGAGAAGATAGAAGTGTGGAACAAGGTTGTCACAAGTCTTGGGCAAGATGATAAAGGTAAAAGTAAGTTCTGAGAATCAAAAAAGAGGCTGAGAGCAAGATGAGTGGCTGTGCTTTGTGGAAGGATTATTATCATTTCACATGAAAGAGAGTGAAAAAAAGGAATGCTGTGGGAGGACATCTCTTTTCGTCTCTTTTGCTTTCATTCTTTTTTGTTTTTTTCTCTTCTCTCGTTGTTATTTTTTTTTTCTTTTCAGGTTAAGGAAATCGGTGGCAAAACAGAAATCTGTTCCAACATATAATAAAAAAACAACATTTACATACCCCCAAGAGCTCAACAACTGTATAAAAAATGATGGTTTACTCAACCAAATTCCTCCTTCAGATATCAATCAATCATAGGAGTTTTAAGTGGGACATATTGACTATATGGTGCAGTTTTTTTTGGGGGGGTTGATCCAATTCTGACCATTGACTTGACTTATAAATTGGGGGTGAGAACCATCCATCAAAGCTGGTACTGTAAGTTAACACCAAAAAATTTTCAAATCATCGAAAAAAAAAAAAAGAAAGGAAAGGAAAAAATGATGCTTTATCTATATCATTTAATTATAAACAAATGAGGAGAATAATTTGTGAGATAACCCAAGATGGATACCGAGATTCTCGATAAATCGCGAGCCCAAAGGATTTGATTCTTCGTGATCAAGTAGTAGTAGTAGTAGCAGTAGTAGTATTACCATTGGAGATTGGATTTTCGAGTTCACCGACGTGTTCCAACACCGATTCTTCGCCAAACAAGCCGATCAAAACCAACCTTGCAAACCGATTATCAGTCCAGTAAGCCGCATGTGCTGTCACCTATGTTATATCATCAATATCACATTCATCCATTTTATTTCAGTTTAGTTCACCTCTAGTGTTTTTTTTGTCAAGGTACACAAAAAGAAAGAAAGGGGTTGAAGATTGTGTCTGATTACTTACCATGTCGACGTATTGGTTCAGTCCTAAGCTTGGAATCACAAAGTCCACTGATCCGGTAGGATTCAACCCAAGAAACCTAAACATAAGTAATCCTCAAACCAAACCCAACCAACAAAAACAGTAAGACTTTGACCCAAAGAGGATCGTATGAGATCACGTTCATTCTTATCTTCTAAAAAAGCGAAAGAAGAATCGAAAGAAGAAGTATTAACCTCATTCGCCCAAGAGTATCTTCCCCATGTTTAGATTTTTTGAGATGTTCATCACGAATATTTTCAGTACTAGAAGAAGCAGTGAAGACCCTTGTCCGTTTGCGAACGAGATCAGACCAGCCAATATTGATCATCGAGGTAGGTCGAGGAGGTCGGGGAGGAGGATCAGAAGGTGGGAGTGGGGAGCAGGAAGGCCTGATGACATCTCCAATGAGCGTTGCTTGAGGATTACCATTGTTGGTATTGATCAGATCATCAGGCTCTCGCTTCTTGGTCGAGCCCATCCATGAAGACGCAACTAACGACGATAACGAGCTCAGCGAAACATTCCGCGTAAGGGTTGACTCCGGTTCGGCTATAGGCCGCTTCCTTCTCATCGTTTCTAAAAACTTCTTGGTGAATGAGTGAGCGTCAATCGGCTTGATTCGCTTCGAATGTCTGTCGTTTCGCATATGAAATAAGTCAGGTTTTTTCTTTTCCTTTTTTTTTTCCTCTGGAAATCTTAAGACTAGGAATCTGGAAATCTTACCCACAATCGACGCCTGAGTCGAGTAAAAATGGTCAAATTCAACATGTCAGTTTGGATGGATAATACCAGATGAAGATTGTTCAAAATCAAATTCTAACAAAACTCAACATGCATTCATAGCTAAATCGATATCGATGTCAGCCATAAGTAAGCAACAGAAGGCCCACATTATAAGCGACAGATTACTAACCCACAGACATACATATTCAAATTAACTTGACTCACAATAAGCAACAGGATCGGTCGAAATGTAAACACTGTAGATAGTTTCAGCCGCCAGACAGCCGTACTGTCCGACCTCGTCGGTCGAGACCCGATTGGCTTTGCGCCATTCGGCCGAATTCTTCGAGTCCAGTCTCGTCGAACTTGATACGCCTTCACGAGCAATCAATTGCGCACGATGTAAATGGAAGAAGAAGGCAACCTTATTGATCGGATTTTTCAAGATGGAAGGAAGAGGGATGAGTTGAAGAAGAATAGTCCTTGATAAATAACAGACTTGTATGGGGGGATAAGGGGACTGACCGGACTACCGACAAGGAATACTTTAGAAGTATCGAAACAGAAATGATCTAGTGCAGATAAGTAAGTCTGCGTATCGCCCATAACTTGGCTGGTGTCGACGTCCATCGTCCATCTACTAGGCTGTCTCGAGAGGATGTCGACGGTCAATGCGGCGCCAAGACTATGGGCAAGGATGGACACCTTGCGCCCAGTATAGTATGTGTTCCGCCGACAGAAGAGTTGGTAGACTTTGTTGGCTTGTTCGATCACTGCCGCAATCATCCGCTTGTGCTGCTTCGGTGACATGTAAAGTGGCACATCAAGCACTAAGCTAGTCACCACCTCACGCACGAATGGAATACTATCTGGGATCTGATGTATATAGAAAAATGTTATCAGTTACCGTCCATTGATAACTAAAATGTTCAATTGTAAAGCCTGATTAGCCAACTTACTTGGATATCTTTCATCGCAAATCGATTTTTAGTCTGTTTTCCCTCTTCGATCTCAGCTTCGGAGGACCTGCCATCTCCTTGCTCAGTGAATCCCTCCATCTCGAAATCCAACGAATGTCTCCATCGAATAGGCTACAGAAAAAAAAATACATCTCAGAAACCAAAAAAATAAGGGAATATTTGATCTTGTCTCGTCTTCAGCCAATGGAAAATCCTGAATAGAAAGACGCACGATGAATTGGACCCTTCTGTTTTGAAGAAAGTTCTTCATTTTCGGGTCCGTGGTACTTGCCTTGTGACATTCGACTCGTAATTGATTACAAGCATGGACAAAATCAAACGAATCATAGGATTTGGCTAACTGAAAGCAATGTTTGATTTAATAATCATGGGCGATCAGACACACAAACCGCAATGGAAAAAGTTGATCATTGTAAGCTGGGAAGTAAGATGCGGGCCAACCTTTTGACCGATTCCATGGATCACCAAAACTAATTCAGAGACTTTCGCGTCTGTGTTTTCCAAGTCTTCTTCTTGCAACATATCCGCGGTAGTATTAAGTCCAGAAGCCGCGCCAATCCCGCCTCGATCGGAGTTATCTGAGGACTTCTCTTCAGATTCCAATCCACTCCAGCTTTGAACCTGATCCCAGCCACGGATCACCACCGTCCCCCCACTGTAACCCGCCGTCTTCTTGGAGATACTCGTGAAGAAATTTGTAAGGATCGTCTTGCTTATCCTGCTGCTCACCGCCGTGGAATATAACCTACCTTGGCTCGCTGTCTCGAAGATTACATCGTGATCAAACTCTTTGAGGTGCACTTTTAATTTGTCTTCTGCTTCGGTTCCTATCTTGAGTGCCGAACGTAGCTCATCCTTTTGTGTGTGTTTTTTTGTCATTGTATGTTCAGGGTTGAAAGAAAGATTCTTCAGATTCAGATTTTTTTTCTCATCCCAAAACTTGCGAGTATGATTTACTGACCTCGTAGGATATGTCCCAAGGTTTGATTTGATCATAGGCAGCTTCCAGAGCTTCTGCAAGGGCGGGATCACAAGGATAGAATTTTTCTGGATATAAATTTGAGCAGAAACACCGGGTCAATTCAATCTATTTAAATCAATATATTCAATGCAGGACAAAGGAGAACAACTAAAGCCCCTTTCCTCTCTACATGAGAATAAAACTGAAGTTTCCCATTTCTCTTTCATCACCAAATTTGCATGGCATTTGCATATATTTACTTACGCTTGTTAGTTGTGGGGTAAAACCATTTTCCTTTATAGACGTCCAAATGAGGGCCATGCCAGAATGCAGGATAAAGCTTCAATCTGCGAACGTCTAAAGCCCATGACAAATCAGCAAGCCAGATGAATTGTGCACAACTGGAGGTGATTTGACATACATACCTACTGTGAATAGTGAATCCAGACCAACTGGAACGATGTAGGGATGATCCTCCATTGATAGGTTGAGCACGCCATCCTCATTGTCGAGTTCATCGACATCCATCGGTTGGTTATCTGGCAATTTAACCGAGGGACTATAATCGTCCTGATCGTCATTTTTGCCTATCAAAAAAAAGGGGGGATTCAGCTGCTCGTTCTAGCAGACACAATGTTTGAGTAGGATGATCAAGAAAGGATTCGAGTGCTTAGTACCGTTGGTTTCAGACATCAATTTCGCCTTCCCTTTCGGTGTGAATTCGAGATGAGGAATATGATGACTCTCAGAGTTTGATTGTTGAGATCGATCGGGATCAGAAATTTGTTTATCAGTCACAGTGGAGCCGGATGAACGTCTGATGGTATTTTTTGCGGAGCTCGAGCTAGAATTTCGGTGAGAGTGTAAGAGTTGCCAGGCGAGTTCGATGTTTGCATTTTCCTTCTTATTAAATGGACTACATGCCACCGGAGCAGGGAGGGAAGCATTAGCGACGACTCGAGTGACGGTTGTTGTAGTACTAGTATTGATATTGGTGGTGGTGGTGGTGGTGGTAATACCGCTGGTGGGATTGGAAGGTTGATTGTTTGTAGTAAGATTAGTTGAGGGTGCTGCTGAGTTGTTGGTTGGGTTGGAGATGATGGAACCAAGCGAGTTGAAGTCCGATAGCGCTGGACCAGTATGAAAGAAATGAGAGACCAGGGGCGGCTTGGAGTTGCTGTTGGCCATCATCCCGTTTGGTCTTGAATCAAGTCTCCGTCTTTTATAACGAGTCACTCGGTCAACAAGAAACCCCTCCGCCGGTTCGAGTATGTACGATCAGTATGCGTACTGTTACATCCGCAGGTACAAATTCATAATTAGCAGTTGTTGTGATCTCAAGCCAATAAATTATTGAAGATGTTCAAACCAGTTCTCTTAAGACAGGATGGAAGTGGGTGAAACTGGTGAGGAAGGTATTTAAGAAGTCAGCACAGCGGTCAACAGGAACAGTACTCAGTTGAGGAGAACACTGTCCTTCGATCGAGCATTCATCCCATCATCATCATCAAACGAAACAAATCAAATCAAATCAAATCAAAAGCTGTTTACTCCTTAAATTGTAGACTCGTCGAGCCAACCAGGCACATAAGCAAATGACTACGAAAACCAACAAACACCGCCCAAGAAACTCTACCAACTCACCATCATTAAAAGAGTCGGTCCTCTGTATCTAGATCACTGGATGGATCCGGTCATGAAAACCAGAACTACAGTGAACTACATAGTCCTCATCCTGCAACTTTTCAGAGTTTAGAAAATCCTCGGTGTTTTGTTCACCAGCTGACCTCCGGCCTTACCAAATGACGGCCAAAATCAGGATCAATAATGCACCAAATGAATTCTAGGTTACAGATAAGATTGATAAATACTCCTACTTTCCTATATGCCTCAGCTCTGCTTATCAACCCACTCAACCCCTTCAAAAGATGCTAAGGTTAATAAATACATAGCTCACTGTCAAGTTGGATATCAAGATGCTTCAAGTGTTCCCGAGTATTGTTTAGTTCCTGATCCAAGACACTGGAAAGCTTTTGATGAAAAAAAAAAAACAAAGAAAAACAACAACAACAATACATCATAATAATAATTTCATACAAGAAGTTTTGGATGCACTCCTCTCCAGCTTTGAGTATGGTCGAGACACAAACACACACACACATCTATATGAGGAAATACAAATGTTCTATTCTTTCTTTCAATCAGGAAAAATCAAAGAAAGAGAGAAACAGAGATGTTGGTCTCATGGTCCAAGAAAAAAAAAGGAATGGAAATGGTGAAAGAGTTGGGTGTAATTTTTTTTTTTTTGGAAGGTATGTAGACTGTGGAGAATTAGACAGAGTAGGACTCAGTAGACTGAAGAAAATCGAATTATTGGCCATCAGATCCGGGAGGTCCACCAGGAGTACGTTCATGACAAATCCCTTCCACGTCGGAATCGGTCAGATGCTGTAACATTCACCCAAAAAAATCAGGGAGAAGATCATAGCAAGAATAAAGCAACAAAAAAAAACAATCAGAAAAAAAAAGATCCATAGGGAAGCCCAAATATATCACCGAGTTTCACGCACTTTTGGTTTATCGTACCATTGGAGACTGCCTTCTGGACAACACCACATAGTCGTACCCTTGAACATCTTCTTATTACAGTTCATCTTCAGGGGTGCTTTGGAGTCCGCGATATTCGCCGGCAACACTTTTTTTTTCACGAAAGGGAAAAGAGTTAAAAAAAACTAGAATGTTATAAATTTATATATAAAAAAGGTATGGAAGAGGAGACCGACTTTGTTTAAGTCTAGCTCGACCGTCTTTGTCTTTGATGCCTTCAATCACACAGTATCCGTTAGGATAGTCGCGTTCGCATCCGAACGTCGTGTCCGGGGGCGCTTCTTGGCCACTGCCGGCGCCGACTGTCATCGTCGTCGCTAGCACAGCCACCAAGACCATATAAAGCTTCATGGTCGAGTTCATGATCACCAGTCGGTTTGCTCTCAAGGAAAGAACACAAGAAAAACACGCTAATTGGAGAAACCTTTGAATATCTTTCTATCTAATGTTTGTTTGTTAAAGGCTAAAGAATGAAGGCGTTTGGGATGGGATGAGGATGGATGGAGAGACCGAAAGAAAGAGGGTTTTTATAATCTGAATGAGTCAAGAGGGGAGGGACATCAGCATGAAGCTCCGATTCGAACCCAACATGGGAATGGAGCCAGAGATACACATCAGTTCAACAGCACTATGTACGAACGAGCGATTTGCACGGACAATATCGAAGGCTATGAAGAGCGAGAGGTGACGTTTGAAGCTAAGCAGAAAGCCACTGCACGCTCCTACACACCCACAAGCTTCACCCCCTTGACATCCAGACGCTGACAATCTTCTTCTTCTTCTTCTTTTTCGTCGTCGTCAGTTCAAACCGAACTCTTCAATCTATTTTACATATTTCCATATTTTCTCGGCGATGGCTCTCTCGATTCTGGTGCCGAAGAATGCCGATATATATACTTTTGATGTGTTATAAATATGTTGTTGTATAATCTAAATATGTCGCACAATTTATTCAAGTGTGGCTTCTTCTGGGTTACAAAAAGGGGTATATCTGACAATTGGAGTGTAGGATGGTGTAAGAGAGCAGGCCACAACCACTGACGCGTCATGATCATGTCCACCGATTTCTGGGCGATTGTTGAAAATCGTGTACACATCTTGCGTCACCATATGCGCCCGGCGTCACTCGGAGAAGAAGAAGAAAAAAAAAACCAGACTCTTTTGCAAAAAAAACAAGCTCCAAGGATCGGAGCTCGAGTTTGGAGTCCATGACTCCATCATGAAGTCTGCACTCCTCGATCTTCGGCGGTCTTCTTGACTTTCTTCGTCTTCTTCATCTTCTTCTTGCTTCAGTCTCGAAGAAGTTCTTCATGAAGTCCGGAAGTCCTCTTAGCGCCTGGAACCTATGTAGGACATAGCCTCTATAAGGACAGTGCAGCGCTTCGTTGCGAATGACGCACGAAACATTTTCTGGCTGAGCAGCGTCTCACTGTCTGTCTTCATCAAAGCCACCAATGGGGAGGACGGTCCAAAAAAAAAGCCGCTCATGTCTGGGAACCGGTCCCGCCGGAAAATAGGTTTTCCAAGAACCAACATCAATGACGCGTCGAGGAGGAAGGATTCCATCTGTTTCCATCTCTTCTTCTTTGTTTCGTTCTCACAGTCTATGACGACAGTCCTACAGGGTAATCTTTTGCTCCTTCCTCCTTAATCTGTCAACTGCTGTTACTGCAGGCGACATGAGGACCAGGTGTTGGATAACATAATCCAATGGTGTGAAACAACAGCTGATTGGGGTGCGGATCCATAGGAAACGAAGTCGACCTGGCCAACCGATTTTTGATGGTTGTTGATGTTGTTGATCAGTAAGCAAGCTTGCAGTGGGGGGCGAATACCAGAGAACATGAGCACGTACAAATCTCGATCTAAGATGGTTCAACCAGACAGTGAAAGTAAAGCAGTGGAGAAGATGGGGTCGGACTACATAATCTATGTAAGCTGAGGCCTGTTACCAATCCGATCTGATGGATTCGGATTCGACAGAAGAGCCAACAAGAGCTGCAGTGTATTGGGGCCGGGTTTGATTGCTTAACATAGAACACAGAAAGCTCTTTGATCAGATCTGCCCGTCGCCGTCGGATCCGGATTCCGTTCCCGTGTCGAGGAGCAGGAGAAGGAGGGGCGATGAAGTGAGAACCATTTGAGATACATAAAGATCCAGGACGCGCTTATGATACCCTGCCACGCCGATCTTGGCCCGGCGGTTCTGCATAACGCTACATACATTTGAGACGACGCGCTGTTTGTTTTTTAACTCCAGATCTCTGGGAAGACACGTGTGCAGGTGTGAATTTTTGAGATGAGAGCAGATCCTGGGACCCGGAACACAAGTGAACATGATGCAGACTATTCCTCTTTCTCCTGGATACCTTACTATCATCATCAAAAGGTCTTGCTGCTTGGGATTCCCGAAACTCATTTGCAATGGAAATGTATATATGACGATTACTAAATCTAAAGATGAACATCCAAATAGATAGAGCTAGTACAGATTGAATTGGAAGTGTGCACTACTAAGTGCTTTCTTTTTCCAAAAGAGTTGCGCTCTATTCATCGAGACAGACAGAAAAAAAAAAGGAAAGTCAAAGTTAAAGTTAAAGAAAAGATAGAATCAGGGGATGGTGTATTTTTTTTTCTTGCCATTAGTTTGAAAAAAAAGAAACATTCTATGGTTTAGTTGATATGATCATTTGAACAAAGACTGCAAAAAAACAAACAGGAACAATTTGCAAAAGTTTTGATCATGATGAACTTGACTAGAGAGAGAGAGAGAAAAAAAAAAGAGAGAAGAATATGAACAGAAAAGCGAAATGATATGTACGGATACTACTGCATTCGAGGTTGATCAGAGTGACTGATAAATCCAGCAGTGATTCTTATTTCCTAAGTGGACGAGGACGGCAATCTGGGTGTCCATTCTTCCAACCTCTTCTTCTTCCACACCGCTTTCCTAAAACACACACACAAGAATCAAGTCAGATCTCGAACAAGCCCGCTGAAGAAAAGTTTAAATTTTGATGTGAGAAGAGCACGGGAGACCACAGACTTTTTGCCGCCAGAAGAGAGACCGGTAGGAGCGACCCAGTCAACAGCGGCGAATTTAGCTTTCCACCATTGGATGTAATTAGGGTCCCACAGCTCGCTGGCGATCCCGAGATCCTTGCAACAGCGCATCAACGCATTCGACTTGCAACCCTCGGTGGCCGTCGGGATATTGTCGGCCCCATTGTAGTAATCTTGTTCGCCCCGGGCTAAGGAGACTAGTCGTCCTAAACAGACTAGCCCGTATTCTCGCGAGACGTTCTTCAAGGTGATGTGCGAGGCTCTGTGATGGGGGTCAATGTTCAGAAGATTTATGGCACATCAATCAGCTCTCTCTCTCTTTTTGCAGTCTTCTATCTTTCATGGATGAATTTTTTGGTATTATTCGCGGGATGGACTGACCCACGTGGTGCTAATCCCCATCCACCGGGCCCAAACGCACGATTAAGGATCCTTCGATACTTGATCTCAGGAAGATAAACCACACCATCTTTATGATGTGCAAAATGTTTTTCAACGATGAAAGAAAAAGAAAAAAGACAGGATTAGCGATGTAAACCTAAAGGAATTTTTTTTTCGTAAGAAATGAAAGAGATTGAAAAGACAAACCCGGTTTGATTTCGACATCCATAGGGTCGATAGGAGCCATCAGAATATCGGAGGCTTCCTTGGGAAAAGGTTTGAGACTGAGGCCGCTAAAGCTGCGACTCCAATCGACGGTAGCGTCACCGAGGTCGTCAGCCTGGAAAGAAGCGGCCTGCTGATCATTATTGGAGGTAGTGGTAGAGCTCGATTCAGGGATGTGAGTGGAGGAGGGGAGAGGATGTAAGTCTTGGGCGGATGTGGAAGGATGGGCCTCGATGGCACTGGATTGGCCGGGCGAATCGGTCGTCAATGAGAGCGGGACGGCGTTGGATGGGGATGAGTAGGTGGCGCGTTTGGCGTGTTGTTGTGGAAGTGATGCTGGTTTGGGGTGGTTTCCGTTCAATCTGTCGACGACGCTGAATGGGTCATTCTCCGAGTAGGTGCTGCTGGATGAAAGCTTGATCGATCTTGAGATGACTGCTGGGAAGTTCCTCGATGTCCTCTTGTTGATCAGCAGTAGTCGTGAGCACAATCGAGTTGAAGCCATCGTTTGTTGGTGTTGGGGGGTGGTTGAGGAAAAAGTCGAGAAACTCCTCGGGGGAAATCCATCTGGCCATTCCCCGGGGTCTCATGCATATTCAATTCGCTCCCCCCCCAACCCCGGGGTGGTCCCGAACCAACGCATGACAGCTCACCGAGATTTCCAGGAAACGCTGCCTCACTTGACGCTGGAAAAATAAGTACACACATTGACGATTCGAATGTGCAAGCACATCCTCAACGCACAGGTTAGTACATACACTCCATCCAAAATCCTGGTCCACACAACTAACTGTTCTTCTTATGTGCAGGTGACGATCCGGGCCCAATGTTGTCGGAAATGGTTTGACGTACGTATAAAACAAGAAAAACGGATGATAAACATTCTTGGTGGTCAAGATCTTCAGAACAATTCGTTGATTTTTTTTTTCTGGTTTGCTAAAAACAAAAAGTGTGCAGAATGTCATGCTGAACAGCAACCAGATCACAAGCTATTCAAGAGTTCGGAGATGGTGATGATGTGCAAGAAGTGCAAGAAAGCGTTCCGGAAAGATGTGGTCGACGAGTTCGAAGAGTCGGATGAGTATTGTCCTCATGTAAGTCTCCAACTCCCTCCCCTCGATATCCCTATACTAATCTTAGATCAAATTATTGTTGAACCAATGAAATAAAAGTGTGATAACCATTATATAATCGAGGCCAAGACGGCCAAGCCGATGATCGGGATCGAAGGCGAAGACGCGAGAGTAGACCCACGAGGACTAGTCACAAGGGACGAAAGAGCACAGAAGGTCGATCGGCAGGCTGAACTCCATAAACTACTCGAAGAAGAATTCGCTTCCAAGGTCGATTGATCAAGCAGAACAATCATCCCCACAATCTTGCTATCCCATCATCCCCCCCCCCTCAAAGAAAGACACCCAAAATCAGCCCATCCATCGTCCCCCAGAAATTTCTTTGGTTGGAGATTGTCAAATTCTTGGAGTACTTACCTAACCTTTTTATTATTATAATATTGATGTAAAACACCATACTAGCAATACCTCAAGTTCGTTGTTATTTCTCAGAAGAAGAGTCTCAAGTCTACCGTCGAAAGTGAGTTGGAAGCTGGCTCGATTTTCCGCTCCGATCTTGCAAGGGTCCAACGATGTACACTCATGGGGCCCAGTCTTTCTGTTGTTTGAAAGAACCTCGCTTTCAGAGCATATCCCACTTGAAGCTCTTCAATAGTCAATCAATTCAGGACGAGTTAATTTTAAGCAAGACTAGATGGGTTTTGTATCATTAATGAAAACACGAGGATGGGGACCGATGGAAGATTTCCATCCTTCCAGACTTGAGCCAATCCTGTAGGGTAGTTTTGGTACCATTATAAGCATACATAGTCATACAATACTTATTGAAAAACATGTTCATGTGTGACTGTAACAAAACAAACGATATCTTTTGCCTCAAACAATGATAGACTCTTTCTTGATCTAGCTAGTATGCAATAGATGAAATGTTTATTTTTCTTGGCTTTTCTTTGTTTCCATTTTGCCGTTCCAGACAGGTTGATGTGAAGTTAATGATCAGCTCCAAATTACCCGATCACCGACTGTATGTACCTTGTACAAAGTGTGTAATCAGCCTACATAACCAGGAGATCCACAGGCAATATATAAATAACAAAGGGCAGACAAATCGTCTAGTCAGGAGACACTGGTCATCTTATCAACTGAGTTGTTAACATCACTTTGATTCACTCATTCCATACCATTTGTCCATTTTCCGTTCTGTTTCAGAGGCTAGAATTTCTCAACATTGGATAACAAGGTGTTTTTTTGTATAACATGACAAAGTATATAAAAAAACAATAGACCATGAGAATTCATCATTCTTTTTTTTTCTGGGGTGAGAGTTGAGAAGAGCTGAGGCTGGAAGGAAAGTGAGTAATTTGGGTTTTTCCTCATTCCTCGCCAGCTCTACGACCCATTGCGGCTTGACTAGCAGCAGTAGCTGCCCGACGATCTCGCAATCGTTGTTGTTCGACCTCCTTCTCTTTCTCGATCTCACTGACTACTGCCTCCAGCTCATTCAGGCTCAATTGCTGGAACATCACATCAGTCAAAAATGGGGAGGGGGTTGAAGAAGAAAAAAAAAAGTTGAACATTTATATATCAGTATGCCAGTTGCTATGATTGAGAAAATCCAAATAATAGACTCACCCGGAAAGATCCAAAGCCGTCCATGATACTTAACTCGATGTTCTTGGCTCCGGTTTGGACAACTTCGAGTAAGGAGCGTACCGTCAGTTTGATGGACTCTTCGGTGCTAAGCCCTTCAGCCCAATTCTTTTCTAAGAATTCCTTGACTGTCTTAGATGACCTGCCGATCGCATTAGCCTTTGTTCCAATCCAAAAATCATTCATGACCACGACCCAAAGAAATGTATATGATTGGGAAAGTCAGTGTTATTCCTACCCCCTCAAAGATACGATCGCGTAGAAGGGGAGGACAGGGAAGTCAATTGTTGGCTTACCTTCCATGATGAAAATACCCCGCTTGGCTCTGTGGAATAGAGACGAGGGATGTTGTCATTTGCGTCGAATCCGATGATCAGACACGAGATACCGAAGGGTCTAACACCACCAGATTGAGTGTATCGCTTCATTGATACAGCACCAAAATCCAAGTCAAGAAACACGTTAATGATCGAGAACAGCCTTGCGATCGACTCGGATCTGAGCCTCAATAAAGCATAAAGAATGAAAACAGGGACTCATACCTGTTGGATTTGAGCAATGTGACGGGTGATATATTCCACGGTTACTGGGTCTTCAACCGTCAAGCGGTGCGATTGACATTCCGTTCGAGCTTTGTCTATTAATATTCTGGCATCTGCCGTCAAGCCTGATAGTTGTGTCGATTTCGTGATTGGAGGAGGAGAGTTGGGCGTCATGAAGAGTGAAGTTCACAAACCAAGGAGAGACAGAAACAAAATAAGCATTGATATCAAACGGGATCGGCGATCACCCTCCAAAAAATAGAGCAAGAAAAATGAATCCCACTGACCCGCAAACGCTAGACAAACGTGATCATCTAACATCGCCACTTTTCGTACCGTCCTGGGATCTTGTAATTGCAAGACCGATTTCTTTTCCACGCCCAAGATCGCACAAGATTTACCACGAACACCAACCTGGTTTTTTATATCAATACAAAAAAAAAAGACCACAGAATAAGAATTCAATATTTATGAAAAAAGGGTCTATTTTTGTGAGGAAGTCTTGTTCAACTGACTGCACATGTTCCTTTCTGTACGGCTTCGAGTGCATATTCGACCTACGTATTTGCATATATTTTCGCACCATTTTTCATCGAGGAGAACATGAGATGGAACAGAGAATGAATCAATAATCTAAACAAGAAGACTTGTAAAAACCAAAACAACGAGGATGAACCTACCTGGAACAGATGTCCATCAGGCGAGAAGACGGTAAGAGCTAGAAGGGAGAAGTGATCGGGGAGTGAGTGAGTGAGGATGATTGGAGTTGGTGTGGGTTTGAGACTTACTGACCTCTATCGTATGAACGACTCATGACTTGTGGTCGATCGAGGAGTAAGATGAGTCCGAGAAAGAAATTAGAATGCTGGATTGGTTCTTGGTGGTGCAGTGCTTGGCGATTGGAAGGGTGATGGAAGTGTCTTCGTCATCTGCTCACCGATCGGCTGACGTAAGCCCAACCCCCCGCCCCCGAAGCTCGCACATCTGGGATCCGAGGCTTACATGATGCTCTTCATGATTGCCATACAACATCAGCTCCATGTAAAAATTGTGATTCTCAAGCATGGAATTATCATTCAAAATGTGTGTGAATGGTTTTTAGATTTATTGAAACCACCCACATACACACCTTACTTCATCCCCATGTAACATGGGTTCAGAACTTAGGCAATCACACAAACTCCCTGATCAGGTTCAAAAGGAGAAGTCTGCATTTCACCTCCATGATGGGATTCCTGGTGAATCAACCTATCATTTGTGTACCACAGCCCCAATTATGAGGATTGTTTCCAATTTTCAAGTTGGAAATGGACCCCACCAGAAATACTGTACCAAGCACAACCAATTTCCCACAGTACAGAAACCAGATTTTTAGCTCTAACCCCAAAATGAATTTTGGTGTTGGCAAAAAATAAAAAGATCAAAAATGAAAATGAAAATTGGCTAGGGTGCTATGGTACAGGCCCTTAATCAAATTATACTCCTCAATCAACTTCAATCTTCATTCAATCATTATCTTGATTACACTCATTTCTCTCAAAAGTCAAGGTTTTCAATTTGTTTTTTCCCACATCTAACAGAAATGAATCAAATTGTTTTCTGCCTGTGTATTCCTACTTCAAAATGTTGTTCCAGTTTGCTTTGTGCATAATTTGAACCTTCTTGATTGAATTTGAGAATGTTTCAAATCATAACTCCACTAAAGATATATGAGGCAATTGGTTCATCTTGATTAAACATAATAAGTTGAAGACCAAAATATCCTTTCTTGTTGAAAAAAGATTTTTTTGATTGATTCAAATTCTTGACAGCAAATTTCTCTTTCAACAGCAAGTTGTGTTGAGATATTACCCATTTTTTCACCATTCAGTATTTAATCCAACTCTTAAAATTATTATTAATCATCATATTTGTTATGAATTTCCTACTCTGTTTGAACTTGACCTACTACCATGGAACAATTTCATCTTCCTTTTGTGATCAATCTGCTTGATTGTTTGAAAAAAAAATCAATATGGCATCACCTGCCCGAGTTCATACCTTGAGATGCTTCGTCTCAACTGTTCTTTCACTTTTAGAATTGGAATTACTCACAATCTTCCAACACCATTTCTGATCATGCATATTGAATTAAACAGTTTTTTTGCAGAGTTGCTAAAATTACTTCCAAACCTCAAAAGTTTCTCTCCGAATAAAACTAATTAAGCTGAGCAAGATCCACCAGCAACCTGCCAACTGACACTGACAGCCAGATTGTGTGGACAAACTACAGTAGGACAAACAAATTAGTAGGATTTAATTTCCATGTGTTGGGTACCTAGTGATTTTTCATTGTGATCTTGCTTCCTTACGCTTCAAGTTCCAATGACACTGTTTTCAAACCTAAAGATAGCGCGTCTGGTTGTTGATCAGATCACGGTCATTCAGCCATGCATGAGTAAAATTTATCAATCAGGAGGACATGGGCATTCTGGCCTCAATGGTTCCAATGTACTGAAGGCATGTATTAACTGATCAAGAAGGAGCTGGCCGCCCACTACTTGCAACAGTGACTGCACAGGCTACTTGGTCGATATGAAGAAGTTCTCGTATACATACCGCCGTTTGGTCGTCGAGTGGCTGAAAGAAAGGGGAAAGTGCTTGCCGCCACAGTTTCATTTTATGGGTCCCTGGGACAGAAGTTAATTTTTCTGTTGGATGGGCCAGCTTTAGGCACTGCTTGTTGATAACTTCCGGCAATGTGAATATATTCCCATTTGCTGTGCCTACATAGCAAAAGGTTATCTCATAAGACTGGTTGAGGTGGCTTCAGCCCCACCAACTTGATTCCTTGGTGATTCGATTTTATGACGCCCCTGTTGCTTGCCTCCAACGCTCAAGCAGTGCCCGATGGGTTTTCTTGTGTTGGAATCGCTTCTTTGATTTGTCGCTATAGTCTATAAAATGCGACAATGCCACGCTTGGTAAAACGAAAAACGGAGCCTCACAAGCAACCCTCAACAACTTCGAACCCAGCATACACACCCGAAAAATAGCTTCTGTTCTTACATAGTTTGCCGGGATCAGGATTCCTTTGCCGTTTCTTTCTACTCGTGCCAGTTTAGACAAATTTCAGACGTCTACCCATACTTCACTGTCCACTCGTGTTGTCCCGTTATGCATTTCTTACAATCGCTCATACTGATGGCAATCATAGCTTGCCAACTTGCAATCGCGGAGGTTTTCAGATGCCGTCAAGTAAATGGGGAACCGGCGGACGATTGGGTGGCAGTTTGCGGCGGAGCCTCCAAGGCAGACCCAAATAAATATGAGAGTCAGTCTGGTGTTGAACAATTTATTCTCCCTATGAATCAATTTACATACAGCCTTATGAAAACGACATAACTCATTGTTCAATCTCTTTCCGATTTCTTGGAAATTTAACAGTGACCAAAGCCAACACAGAAGTGAATGATAAAGCAGCTCACAATTGCGTCGGGGCCCCGTTACAAGAAACAAAATGTTGCCGAAAGAACGCATTCAAATTTCAGGAAAACGTGAGCATTATTCCATCTGAACAATTCTTTCAACTCTCTGAGTCCAAGTTACTAATTCTTTCATGAATCTGTCCAACTATCTACACAATCCCATTAATAGACAAACCATAGATTTCAAACAATCACTGTAGACTTATCAGCAATCACAGAGGACCATAATTGTATTAGACCAAGACTAGAGGACACCCCTTTCTAGATAAAATTTTCAATCCAGGAACTTTTCAATGCAATGCCTCAATGTCCAAAAGCAATCTGCTTCTTGAACGTATGGCTGCCTCCCTGTCGTTCAACTTTGATTGTGTCAAACTGAGTGAATTATGTTTCAGAGGTCTGTAGATCTGCCAATTATCTAATTCCAATAGCATTCCTTATATTTCTCTGTGATTGTAATTAATACTACAAAATATAAAAATCCACTGGAAATCTTTTTCATCCACATTTTGTTTACAGGGAGGAATTCCTCACATTTAACCAGGTGTTGAAGCTTTTTGGACCTAACGGAACTGCTTCCCTACTTATTCAGAGGGGTACGCCGTCCTCCAGGGACCCTCCTTAACTTTGGAGGGCTGCTTTGCAAAGAAGGGGGACTTGGACAAGTTTGTTTTTGGGCCCAATGGCTTTATGTATCTTTCCAGGCTTTGAAGCTTGTTAGACACAATGTCTATAAGTGTCTTGCAGATTGCTTGTGTCTTAACTCAATGTCTTGAAAAGAATAATTTGGGGAAAAGATCAATAAAATTTAAAATTTGTTGGTGAACACTTGGACATTCTTTTGTGATTTGGTCCAAGGCTGAAGGAATTTGAAGCATTTGCAAAAAAAAAAAAAATCAACAAGAGAAAGGGTAGATCAGAAGACAGTCATCATGTAGACCAATCAGGCATGGGACACTGAATGGATAGCTATGTTGAGTATTGGATGCTCAGACTTGTTCACCACCAAAAACCCAAACCCAAAACATTTTCATGCAAGAAGTCCTGCTAGGGCATAAGTCCATCTGCCAAAGCATCAGACAGGGTGGGACTTTGTAGCACCACTGAATGCTATTTTTTAATCAAATAAATAACAGAAGAAGACATGGCATGGGGAACAATCAGTTTAAAAATAGCATGTGGTACCTCAAGTTGTTGTAACTTGCGGCAACTTCTACATGCCAATCCAAAATGAAGGACCAGTGATTCTGTGCAAGTATCTCTTGCGCAGTATCGAGTATGTTGTCATTTCTTATAATCGAGTTTGCCCATAGATAATGGCACGAATGAATAAAAGATAACAAGAAATGTTACAAGGAGAGACATGCAATGAGGAAATTAAGAGGAACCGAAGATCCCGATTTCGTTTAAAAGATTACCGATGGCTATAGTGAATTGAGTGTGCCAAGTGGCAAACCAATCCTTGAAGTACTTCTGATTATGATAGACGTCGGTATCCGGTATGAGTGGGACGAAGTGAACGAGTATAAGCAAGAAAGCAGTCTCGAAGCGAGTTGTGATTTCTTGGACTGCCTTTTTGAGTTCGCTACGTTCTCGGGCGCTTCCATTGAATTCTTTTAAGAGGGTCTCGATTTCTGCGAGCTGACGATCGGTTTTTGAAGGCAAATCTGAAATGAAATCTAGTTGATTGGAAGACATGGTTGTAAACAATGATACTAGTGGCTTTCTGTTCATACCTCGTTCCGATGATTTACTCAAGAAAAGTCTTGAAAGCTTGACGACAGGTACGATGGATTTTACTAGTTTAATGACATATCCACGGGGGCGTTTGTGTGGAATGTTGATGGTGGGGTCCAACATCAACAGGTATTTCAGGTGTTCATCAATTCTAAATGTATGCTTCCGCCAAATACCTTGAGTGGTATCAAGTTCGGTTGCTACCATCCAATTGATGCCATGTTCAACGAGATACGAGCAATTAGATACCTCTGCCATTAAATTTTCCCTAGCCGCCAAAGCTACATCGTCCTTGGCCTCGTACGTCTTCGTTGAGAAATTCAGTCGTCGAATGAGCTCGGTAGAATCGAAACAAACCTCCTGTATTTCCGGCAGCACGAGTTCCTTGATATGATGACATAGGCCATGGAGCCTGTAGTGCTTGAGTTCCTTAAGGTGTTGGTCATTTATTCGAACAATGTTCAATTGCATTGGTTGGGGACATAGGAGATCGATTGCGCATAAAATTTGATCTAATGTGATATCGAGCCCGGCTTGGATCTCCAGGATGAGCTTGAATTTTGAGGCTGCTTTTTCTAGTAACTCATATGGATTGGTCAATTGTAAGAGAGTGATAAGTTGCTGTCGTAGCTGAGGTAGAAAGCATGACTCCAGTTGTAGTAGTAGGCCTTTCTTTAACTCCGTTTCGTCGATTGAAAGAGTTGGATTTTGTGCAGAAAGGGTGAAGTCATTCGCAGAAAGGGTGAAGTCATTCTCCCTAGCTGACTGGCATTTGTCGACCAAATTCGTGAACCTCTTTATGACCACATCTACAGGGATACATTCATTGCGGTATTAGTTGAATGTCTTTAAACTGGCACAAGTTGGCCGACAAGAAGTAAGAAAACGATCTCCGAAACATTGATTCCTGCTTACCTGCTTGTTGTCGAAGATGTACTCCTGATAGCGCCACATGACCAGTGTGCTGTGAGGTTGAGCCAAGCATTTTCTTGGTGTTCCGGTTCGTCCTTGATTCCCAACTACCCCCCGTGACTGCATACATATCATCCATCACCCCCCGAAAAGCAATCGGTCACTCGGTCTCCGGCCGGGGAGAACCAACTACATAGACACAACAAAATGGAAATAATATCTCCAGTGAGTTTAATCCACTAATGCTTCTAATCAGCCCCCTAAGACCCCAGGAGAGATGAATTGGCAATTTGAAGTAATAATAATAAATGCCAGTCCTTCCCCTGTGCTCATAATAACCTCGAGTTTGAGGAAAGCCCAAGCTCAATTGGGCCCATGAGAATAACGGATACCTTAACTTCAAATCACATTTGATAAGCAAGACAACCCAAATAGCATTAGTGGAAAGCCTCAATGGAGTGTATGATGCTTCCATCTGGTTTTTAGTGGAAAGTGGGAGAGTTTAGGCAAAGTTCAGATGATGTGTCCAGTGACCAAAAGGAGATTTCCAACTTTTTGAAGTAAGAATTATTAATGCCAGTCCATCCACTGTGCTCATAATAACCTCGAGTTTGAGAAAAATCCCAAGATCAGAGCCCATGAGAATAACAGGTACCTTAACTTCACGTCACATTTGTTAAGCAAGGAAACCCTAATAGTATTAGTGAAAAGCCTCAAATAATGCTTCGATCTGGTGTTTGATGGAAAGTGGGAGAGGTTAGGCAAAGTGCAGATGATGCGTCCAGTAACCAAACGGAAGTTTCCAACTCTTTCAAACAAGTAAAATTTTACAAGCATGTGTCATATTTAGGATCAAGAGCGAGTGGCATCTGAACAAGTACTACACAAAAAAAAAAAAGAAATAATCGAATGAATTGCAAGAAGGCGAGTCTTAAACTTGCAGCAACAATGTACGCATCAAGGGGAAAACTTAAAAGCAGGATAAATAAGGAATGTGGTCCAACTTCTAAAGGGTCCGGGAGACGATTACAAAAACAAGAGAGAAGCAACCGCAGCAGCCATTCCGGCGAGGACGGTGGAGGATGGTCCGACGAAGCTGGCCGATGATTTTTCGGCGTTGTCAGAGGCGGTGGTGTTGTTGGAGGCGGTCATGACATTGGATGATGTGGGCGCGGTGGATGCTCCGGTAGGGGCCTTGTTACCGATAATCGCGGAAGGGCCGCTGGATGGCGAGGAGGGATTGCTGGCAGCAAGGACCGAGTTTGGTGTAGCCAAAGGTTTGGCGGTACTGGCTGAAAAGCGAAAGGATATGCAATGTCAAAGGTCTTGCTAATCTGATGGTTGTTGAAAATATGAAAAAACTCACAACCACCAGTGATTGTGAAGTAGGTCGAAAAGATCGGGTGGGACGCATTGCCCTTGGCGATGAACCGTACAGCGCTAAGGAGGAAAGGAAATCAGGTCAGCAAAATGTCAGAGAAAAGCAGTACGGTTAGCTGATGTGCTCACTATTTCTCGGTGGGTGAGAGGCCGGCGATGGGTTGGAAGGTGATCGCAGTGGCAACGGAGGGGTTCATCACACCGCCAAGGTTTTGGACGGCTTGCAAGTTGGAGGCGTTGCCCATGACCAAGTCAATAGTGGTCTCTCCCATGGTAGTCGTTGATGGTAAGGTCGAGTCGTCTTGCCATTTGATTTGACACGACTGGAGAACGACGCAAGTGCTGCCTTGAACGGGGAAAGTCGGCGACAAGGAGGCTTGAACGGTGTTCAAGATGGCGAGAGCAATCAGGCTGTTGGTGAATGGAGTCATAGTGTTGCCGTTAGATCGATGTGGAAAGTGAATCCGTGTTTAAAAGTGTGCGGAAAATGAATGTGGAATTGAGGAGTTTATTTGAAAGGAATCTGTTGATGATAAAAATTTAGGTAGTTGTTTGTGGGCTCAGGAAGGACAACTGCGACGGATGAATAGTAACCAGGCTTTTGAATTATCGCTGCAAAGGATCACTCCACTATAACCATCTGCTGCACTGCAGAGCAGCCAATCTCATCCGATGGCACATATTTGATTCATGCACATGTCCCCAGGGCTCGCTTGCCCTCGCCTGCCTCATTGAGCTGAGAGAGTTCTGTATTCAGACATGGCAGCTTTGGGCGAGCGTGGCTTGAGCTGAAGCACTGACGCGCGATCATGGTTCCCCAAACGGCAACGTACTGTATCTTTCTCTGACAGCCTAACGAGTCGCTTGAAGGATATTTTCCAACAGTTGCCGTCAAGTGGCTGCTGATATCTCTGGTAGTACAGGACACGGGAACCCAAAGCAGGAATCAGCTGTTCCTCCAGCGAAGGGCACCCTGATAGGGTCAGTGCGTCAGCACAACATTCATCTTCCAAGTGAAGCTTAAGACCGACGGTAATAATAGGTCAGCTCATTGGAGTGCGTCGGTCATAGTTGACATCCGTTCGCTCCAAAAAACAATCGACATTTTTAAATGTGCGGATTGACTCGATCAACTTAGATCCATCACCATCATCTTGTGGGTTTACAGTGAGTATGGAATGTAGTCTGTGCCACGGCCACCGTGCCAGCGCCATCAAGCTAACCTAGAATTTCTCCGAGGGCTTGGCTTGTTGTAAAAGTAACTAGAGTCTAGTGTTTGCGACAACATAGCGTCGAGAAACAACCCGAAAGTTGGATCGACTGCACAAGAGGCACCCAAAAGATCGTTGCTTCTGATGATTTCCTTGACTGCATGTTCCAGTGAAGTTTTTCCAAGAGATGACAATGATCAGTATGTGCACCTCGTGCCAGACTCGGTGGCTTTCTTAAGATGGACCATTCTCACTTCCCCACAGAGGAAAGGGATTCCTCGGTACGGATCAGTGTTAGAGCATTGCTTGTTTTTTTATCAAGGCAATCATAACGTTGAGCTTTCTTGTCCTTGGCACTGGCAGGCAGCGAGCGCCCAATTTTACGAAATTCAATAATCAAATGTTCGAGCTAAGAAACTGGACTAAAAGAACCTATTGGATTGCCGAATTCAGCAAACGCCCAAACTCGGTCTTCCTTCAGCTCTTGACTGTCTTGACATTAGTCATTCAATGCGGACTCTCCCAACTCCTTTGTATCCTATTTTGTACACTACTCCTTATCCATTTTGCGTAGTTTCCCAGCGCCAATATTCAGAGTCAGATCTCTTGTGATTGATTCTCGACACATTTCCCGCCAACTCCTACGTCCAAGTTTGCAACCATTTTGCTGACCATATACACCCAAGTCTTTGCAGTGGCCCTGGCCCCTAGACCCTATGCCAAACCAACATAGGAATCACACTGTCAAACTCTGCCAGCAGATGCACTAATAATTTGCAGACTTGTCTTCACTATCAAAAGCAATGGTATAAACTAATAGTCTCATTCCTGGAGGGCTTGCATCAAACACCAATGAACAATGGAGGACTTCCTGTCCCAATGGTTTGATTCCATAAGTGGTGGGGAGAACTAAGATTTATCATAAATTCATGGCATGAAATAGTCGCTAAAATTCAAAATCAGAACCATTTTTTTTCAGTTTGAATTCTATAAGACTTTTGATGGAAATTTTTCTAAAATGTGGTTTTTAGAAATTGGGCAAGAAATTCTCAAAACATCCTCACATGAAAGAAATTCTAAGGAGAACAAAATTTGAATTCCACAACCCAAATTCAAAATCTAAAGGAAGGTTTGTGCAGATTTAGGATTTGTCTGGGTCAGAGCTTGTTACTAATGGATGAATTCCTGTCAGATCTGGGACCCTCACAGTTTGTGATTTAGACCCAAAAAGTCTAGATTTTTTCAGGGAAATCTAGCTTGTGTGGCTCTAAATCAAAACTGGGAAACCTGTAGATGTTCACGGGAGGTCATCCCATTCCTCCTTGACAAATCTATATGGAGGCATGCAATAATCTTTACTTCATCCAAAGGTGGTTCAATAATTGAAGTAAAAATATTTGGGAAATATCTTACATTGTGTTAGCCTTAATTTCTTTGGAAGGGTATGTTTATGGCTATTGAAACATGCATTCATCTTTCATGACAATACAGTGAAATATGAAATGGTAAATGAATAAAAAATCACATTCATTTTTCTCAAGGCTCTTGCTCATGTCATTATTGATGTATCTGAATTGCTTCCAGAAGTCCACTCCCTGTGGCTGCATAGCATCTTTGACAAGCAATGTTGAATTGACTGAACCCTTTTAGCTCATTTCTAGGCCTTAAAATTTCTGAATTTTCATTATGGTTTTTGTTTCAGATCTCCCAATCTCAATTGTCTCACTCTTGAATTTTTTTCTTGCTCCCATCTTGAGAGATTACAGTAGCAAAAAAAAGAACAATGAGACAGTCACAAAACAAATCTGAAATTTCTTTTTCTTTACATTTTCAAAAGTCATGGAGTGCTAGAATTTTTTTACAAATTGAGAATTTGGTTTGAACAGACTGATCCTTTCATTGAGAAGCAATCCTTATCAAGATGTTGCGTGCTGTATGATTAGAATAAAGGGAGAGGCAAGAGGATTAAAATAAGAGTATGAGAATATTTTCCATTAAAGAAAAAAAAGGAAATTTCAATAGTTTCAGTGAAATTTTACATTGGAGAATTGATTGAGATGTTTGGATTGAGTTGTAGAATATAAAATCTGACCATTTTGAACAGGAACCAGAGCAGCTTGAGCAATCTCAATGTTACCTGGCAATTGCCTCCCATCCCCTCCAACCGGTCGTTTTGAGTCAGTGAGAGCTCGGCTGTGGATTACAAGCACATCAAGTCAAACAATCAGAAAAAAGAAAAAGTTGAGAAAGCATGAAAGTCCTTTTTTGAAGAAGAAGAAGAAGAAATGATACCAGATCAGATGAACATCTTACCCAAAAGTTTTTCCCTTGTTCTCAATATCATTCATAGCATTATTGGCTTCAACATTATTTGGAAATGCAGCAACAATTGCTTTACAAAAATCCTTCATGTAGTTACCCTGTTTGAATATCCATTTTTCCAAAAGAAGGTATAATGAGAATCTCACCTGATGGAATGAAGCAAGTATTTTGATTGTGATTAATGAAACGAAATTCTTACGATAGTCAAGATGTCTTCAATTTTCTGATTAACATCCTTGGCTTGGGATTTCTTCAAGCTCTTGGGCAATGCCATATTATGAAGAACTGATAATCTGTTTGACTGATCTGTCATATTGTTCTTGAGGTTCTGAATCTCCTTGCCCATGTTCGCGGGCAGTGCTCGTCTAACGTGCGATTCTCTCTTGTGAAGCGGCCCATAGGAGCTGCCGCTGATGAGCGCAGAGCTTAGTCCACTGCAAAATTGTTGCAGAGTAAAAAACCTATCAGATCTGATGATCGTTATTCTGTATTTTGGAATTGGAACATAACTTTGGCTCACCGAGTTGCAAGAAACGGACCGTTGGAAGGGATACCTGATGTGTCACTTGGGAAAGGGGTCGCCCTTACTAGCGTCAAAACAGTGAAGGAAAGGAAACTTGCGCAGACGGATGACTTGGTGATAAACATTGGGTATGGATAGATGCACAATGATACAACTTGAGGAATATGTGCGAGTGTTTTACTATCAACAAAGACAAAAATTTCTCCGTTTGGTTTTTGAGCAGGGTCAAAGCAAGAGCGAGAAATGGGTTGTTTGCTGATAATTCTGGATAAAACGTTTTTGGAGCTTTTAAATTGAAAACAGCTGGAGGCCTTGAACAGGAAGAGCTTATGTACCCTGCAGGACCAATGATGCTCCTGCTTATAATAGGAGCGAAAGAAACATTTCCCGCACTCACTTCAAGCAAACGCTGCACTTGATGGAATCCATGGGGACAGTCACACCTTTTGACCAGAACCTTGCAGAGTTTGATTCAAGGAGTTAACTTGAGCGCAATAAAACCTGCCAACCGGAAACATGAAACACAATCAAGAGAGACCGGAATGCGAAGAAACGTAGGCGACCGGAATCCACCGTTGACATGGCACCTTGGCTAGTATCTGTCGTAGCTTCTACTCACTAGTCAGATCACTAGAAAGACACATCAGTTGAAATTTGGAAAATAGGAGTCCAAGAGTTCCACAAAACATTATTATTGGCAGGGAGGATAACCAGACCTAATCCAGAAAGCGGCAAGCTAGAGCATCGTCATCAGTCATGGCCAAAAGTGATATCCCAAGCTGTTGAGGCCTATCATAGCCTTTTGACGCTGTATGTAACAAAGGGCAACTTAGAGGATGACCTGCAGTTGAATTGGCTGGAAAAGACAAACTTGGGAAGATCATCATAATATGTCAAGGAAATTTGTATCAATATTTTGGGTGGGGGATGGGGGGGGGCTGCAGAGATGATTCACAGAGTGACATCCTGAAACTTGCAAGCAGGGGGATTGAGTCAGAAAGGTGTCACATAGAGGAAACCTTTACTGTTTAAAGTTCCACGAGTATGGTTTTGTTGAAATTCCATCTTAAAGAATACAATCAAAATTTCACATTGCAAGTATTTCATAATCTTATGGGAATGTCAGGCCAGACAAGAAAGAATCAAGGAGGAACTGGGGAGGGGGCTCACCAGCCAACTTTGAAGCCAAATTCTAGTTTTGTAACTTGTCAGTACTCATTTTTTTAGTTATCAGTTTACCATGGAAGCTCAGTCAATCTTGGAATTTTTTACAAAAAATTGCTCATAAATCACTGGAAAGTTGATCCAAAGTTGAACCATCATGTGTTCCAGTGGTGTTTCATACAGATTGACTATTGTAGCAAACAATACAATAAAACGATTTTGATTATGAAAATTTTTCCTTTAAGAACAAGTAAATAAGCTCGTGGCCTTGAAACTAACTTAAATTGCTGATTGAATACCAGAAAAGAAAATGATACATATTATGATCAAAGAGAGAGTCTAGGACTCTAGAGAGAGGGTAAAAATTAAAAAACACCAAAAATTAGTACCACTGGTTTTTTCTTTACTTGTCTGGTTTGTGAACCATCTCTTTATGGCTTCCAAGATGTAAATCTTGCTTTTGGGGGTTTGTTTCTCCATCTGCTGGGAGGTTTTCTGCTTCATTTCACATCTTGAGTGAGGAGTGGAATGTTTTGGAGTGTGTGTGCGTTTTCCCCTGCGTTCGCGTTGTTACTGAAGTTGGTGAAAGCTCGGCGGTTGAGAGCTGTTCCCGGGCTGTCACCGACCGGGGGAAATCCAGCTACACAGTCAAGAGGTCAACAATCTCGTCCTCGTCATCAACCAAAAACCAAAAAACCATAAAAACCAAAAACCAACAACAACAACAACAACCTCTTAACACTCCGAACAGACTCATACAACCCAAGCATGGCTCAACAGTACATCGGATCAAGGATATCGCTGATCTCAAAGTCAGACGTAAGTAGATTATCATGAAGGAGGAATCCCTATTGTGCCTGATGACCGACTGACTGACTAACTAAAAAATACTTACCGCTCACTCAATCGAAACAAACTCCTTTCCCTACTCCAGATCAGGTATCGAGGGATCTTACACTCCATCGATCCTGCAGCGTCCACCGTCAGCTTGGAACAAGGTACCTGACAAGAAAAAATTGTATTCAATCGATCGCTTCTATCTATCAGCTTACACATTTTCTGGTTTGACGTTATAGTTCGATCGATGGGCACGGAGGGTCGGAAATCTAACCCCTCCGAAGAGATCGCTGCGACTGACCAACTATACGAATTCAGTTCGTCATCCTCTCCATAACTGCCATCTTAACTTACCCTTCTTCTTCGCGTCAAATCCATTGCCCTGACCTAAATCCCCTTCTTCCACCAGTTGTCTTTCGAGCTGCCGACGTGAAAGATCTGTCGATCGAAGCCCCGGCAGAAGCCAAACCAGAACCACCCAAACCGTCGGTTCCCGATGACCCTGCCATCATGAGCGTAAGCAAACCTTCTTTTCTTCTCACCATTTCCCATCCAGCTGTGTTGCTCAATATTGGCCTTCGATCAACTCCCAGACGACTGCCCCACCACGTGCCCCTCCGAATCCGTACATGCAACAAAACATCATGGGTCCACCCCAGGGAATGTACAATAACACCATGCCGCCCATGATGTATCCGCCCGGTAACGTCCCGCCTCAATGGCCACCTTACGGTATGCCCCCACCCGGACAGATCCATCCAATGATGGGTTTCCCCCCGCAGCCAATGCCCCCACCAAACGTACCCCTAGCTCAACAGCCCAATCACCAATCAAATCAAACCAATGTACCCCCGTCAACAAAGCCTAACCCGGCGGCCTCCGCGGGCAAAGCGATACCTCCTCATAAGGTCGACGCAACCGGATCAGCTTTGAATCAGAAGGCCTCACCCCTGGCAAGTCTATCGCCCAACAAGCCATCCAGCTCGTTGGCATCCAACCCGCTTCCTCCCAGCTCGGCCCAGTCCTCAGGCCCTGGCGGGCCAGTCCTTCCATCCTCTCAGCCAGCTCGAGGCCCGGCGGGCGTCAATGGTGCAGCAGGTTCGGGGAAGAGCGTCTTTGGGACCACAACTGCAATGGATATGATGGCTAGTATTGCGGCAATGAGCCCCCAGCAAGGTTCACCTGCTAACCAGCAGGCCAGCTCAACCTCGCAGAAGTTCCCGACCAACTCTGCAAATATTCATCCGAACCAGAACGGTACCCAAGGTGCAAATTATGCTCAGTCCGGCGCACTCCAGCCGTCGACCTCCCAATCCCAGCAACAACATCAGATGAGACACCCTTTGCCTCAGGTCCCAAATAATAACAAGGCCAAGGCTGCCCCTAAGGCCCATGGGGCTAGCCAACCCAATAACTCGAACAGGCCAAACCACCATCACCAGTCCTCCTCGACGCCAATCGTACCCGCCCAGGATTTCGACTTTGCATCGGCAAACGCCAAGTTCAACAAGGCTGCGCCGCCGAGCAACTCGATCAAAGCGGAAGACGGCAGCAGTCAGAAGGAGGATGTCGAGCCCGGTCTAGGTGCGGAGGGGCCTGTCGATGGGGCTAAGAAGATCGGCGGGGAATCGAAGGAGGAGGATGATTTTGTGATCCCCGAGGCTCCCCCGGGGACCTACTACGACAAGAAGAAGAGCTTCTTCGACGATATTAGTTCCGAGGTTAAAGAGCGATCGGCCCTCTCTTCGCAAGACGGTCCTTCCAAACCCAACCCTGGGGGACCCAATGGGGCAAATGCTGGACGAGGCGCGCGTGGGGGAGCTGGTGGTCGAGGCGGCAGGGGCGGGAAAGGATGGGATCGGAATGCGGAACGCCAGAAGAACCTGTCAGTCGGAAAGATTTTTTTTTTTTGGGGGGGGGGGCGTGTCGAATGCAAATACTTACGGAGGGACACATATATTTACAGGGACACCTTTGGCGAGGTAGCGCTGAACCCGAATCTGGGTGCCCTAGGCTCAGGATACAACGGCTATGGCCGCGGAGGGGCCCATCGGATGGGACAGATCGGAGGGGCCGTCAATGGCGGATACAGAGGCATGCCTGGCAGAGGCCGAGGTGGACCGGGTCGAGGAAACCACCATCATCACCATAATCATCATCATCACAATCATCCCGCGGCAGCTGCTGCGCGTGGTGGGTTCCCGGTCAACCTTAGAGCTATCCATCTCGCAGCTGGTGGCGGTCCTTCTCCTGTTAATCAATGATCACCCTTTCCATCTCTCTCTCTCTCTCTCTCTCTCCTGTCTAATCTCTGATACTTCAAACTGAGAAACTTAGACTAGACAACAACATAACTGGAAGGTGGAGATGTGTTGAAGCCATAGTGATAAGCTTGATCTATCCTGGTCAACCTGATTTCA